TAGTTCCTCCAGCTGGGTCATCATGAACTTTTTCAAAGTGCCAAAGTCGGTGATGTCCTCGTACACGGGGGGCTCCCGCATAAAATCACCTGCAGAAGGAAAGGGAGTGAGTGTAATTATAGGCAAGAGGTCCAAGGCCAGGTGGAGGGGTAGGCAGAAGAGGCAGCCACCTTGGGCTTTAGCAGAACAGGTAGGTGTATAAAGGGCAGGACTTTAAAAACTATGCTAGTTAAGTAGTTCACGGCTCATGGGGGGGGGAGGGGTGGGGTCAGCCTTTTTGTCTTGGGTGTAAAAGATCCTTGTCTGGGCACTGAAGGTCATCTTCATTCATGCATTGCCCAGCAGTAGGTGAAATAATGGGGCTTGGGGCATTAAACTATATGGGGGCATTAAACTATATGGGGGCATTAAACTATATGACGACCCTAACCATGACCTCATTTTCTCCATTTCGGTTCCATCTACTTACCAGTGCCTGGAGTCCAGCTCTGTCTTCCTGAAGCCGGTTCTTCTCACTGTTGTAGGTCCCCAGTGCCGCCATCTTTGATTTAGGAGCTAGCTGTGACTTCCTGATGAATCACAGGCCTGCTTCCCACTGCACATGTGCAAGATCCTGTAGCACAGCGAGACTGCTTCTGTAGCTTCCTGGGGGATGGGATGTGTCCTAGGAGGCTGCGCATGGGGCAGGACGAGTGACGTCATTCTCACCTAGATGAGAACTGAGGAAGCCGGAGCGCATACGCCTCAAAAAGGTACTCACCCCCCAGTGCTGCCATCTTATATTTGGAAGCCAAATATGATTTCCTTATGAATCTCATGTCGGCTCCCCGTTGCACATGTGCGAGATCCTGTAGCACAGCGAGACTGGTTCTGTAGCTTCCTGGGATATGGGATGTGTCCTAGGAGGCTGCGCATGGGGCAGGATGAGTGACGTCATTCTCACCTAGATGAGAACTGAGAGGGGCCGGAGCGCATACGCCTCAAAAAGGTACTCACCCCCCAGTTCTGCCATCTTGGATTTGGAAGCCAATTATGATTTCCCTATGAATCACGTCGGCTCCCCGATGCACATGTGCGAGATCCCATGGCATGGTGAGACTGATTCTGTAGCTTTCTGGGAGATGGGATGTGTCCTAGTTGGCTGCGCATGGGGCAGGACGAGTGACGTCAGTCTCACCTAGATAAGAACTGAGGATGCCGGAGCGCATACGTCTCAAAAAGGTATCCACTTCCCAGTTCTGCCATCTTGGATTTGGAAGCCAACTATGATTTCCTAGATGAGAACTGAGGAAGCTGGAGCGCAGGTACTCACCCCCCAGTTCTGCCATCTTGGATTTGGAAGCCAACTATGATTTCCTTATGCATCACAGGTCATCTCCCCGCTGCACATGTGTGAGATCCCGTGGCACGGTGAGGCTGGTTCCGTAGCTTCCTGGAAGATGGGATGTGTCCTAGGAGGCTGCACATGGGGCAGGATGAGTGACATCATTCTCACCTACAGTATGTGAGAACTGAGGAAGTGGGCGCACATATGTCTTAAAAAAGTACCCACTCCCCAGTGCTGCCATCTTGGATTTGTAAGTCAACTATGATTTGCTTATGAATCACAGGTCATCTCCCTGCTGCACATGTGCGAGATCCCATGGCACGGTGAGACTGGTTATGTAGCTTCCTGGGACATGGGATGTGTCCAAGGAGGCTGCGCATGGGGCAGAACGAGTGACGTCATTCTCACCTAGGTGAGAACTGAGGAAGCGGGAGCGCATACGTCTCAAAAAGGTACCCACTCCCCCAGTGCTGCCATCTTGGATTTGGAAGCCAACTGTGATTTCCTTATGAATCACAGCTCGGCTCCTGCTGCACATGTGCAAGATTCCATGGCACAGTGAGACTGGTTCTGTAGCTTCCTAGGAGATGGGATGTTTCCTAGGAGGCTGTGCATGGGGCAGGATCAGCGATGTCACTCGCACCTAGGTGAGAACCGAGGAAGCGGGAACGCATATGTCTCATAGAGGTACCCACCCCCCAGTGCTGCCATCTTGGATTTGGAAGCCAACTGTTATTTCCTTATGAATCACAGGTAGGTTCCCCGCTGCACATGTGCGAGATTCCGCGACATGGTGAGACTAGTTCTGTAGCTTCCTGGAAGGTGGGATGTGTCCTAGGAGGCTGCGTATGGGGCAGGATGAGCGACGTTATTCTCACCTAGGTGAGAACTGAGACAGTGGGAGTGAGTACCTGTCAAAAAAGGTACCTACTCCCCATTAAAATACAAAACAAATGTATTAGGGGTGGGAGATGTGAGAAGGATTAGTGGTCCTTTCACTTTTGAATGAAGGTCTGCTTTGAATGAACATACCATTGTCAGCATTTTGTTATATCTGTTTGATAAGTGCAAAAATATCTGAAATTCAATGTGCCGATAACTTCCTGTGCTCTTTGTCTTTGCATCTGTTATCATTTCTCTCTCTTATCTCCATGTACTACAAAACACCTCCGCCAATTGTTATGGGGATATGTGACAACACTCCCTTGATACAGTACAATGAGTGAGCATTGTAAAAATAAATAAATACAAATTCCAGTATATATACTGCCATTTGTAGATGCTATAACTTTCAAATACAGTGCCCTGAAAAAGTCTTCATACCCCTTGAAATGTCCCCAATGTTGTCATGTTACAACCAAAAACGTCAATATACTTTATTGGGATGTGATGTGATGGACCAACACAAAGTGGCACATAATTGTGAAGTGAAAGTAAAATGATAAATGGTTTTTACATTTTTTTATAAATAAATATCTGAAAAGTGTGGGGTGCATTTGTATTCGGCCCCCTTTACTTTGATACCTCTAACTAAAATCTAGTGGAACCAATTGCCTTCAGAAGTCACCTAATTAGTAAATAGAGTCCACCTGTGTGTCATGTAATCTCAGTATAAATACAGCTGTTCTGTGAAGCCCTCAGAGGTTTGTTAGAGAACATTAGTGAACAAACAGCATCATGAAGGCCAAGGAACACACCAGACAGGTCAGAGATAAAGTTGTGGAGAAGTTTAAAGCAGGGTTAGGTTATAAAAAAAAAATATCCCAAGCATTGAACATCTCACGGAGCACTGTTCAATCCATCATCCAAAAATGGAAAGAGTACGGCACAACTGCAAACCTACCAAGACATGGCCGTCCACCTAAACTGACGGGCCGGGCAAGGAGAGCATTCATCAGAGAAGCAGCCAAGAGGCCCATGGGAACTGGAGGAGCTGCAGAGATCCACAGCTCAGGAGGGAGAATCTGTCCACAGGACAACTATTAGTCGTGCGCTCCACAAATCTGGCCTTTATGGAAGAGTGGCAAGAAGAAAGCCATTGTTGGAAGAAAGCCATAAGAAGTCCCGTTTGCAGTTTGTGAGAAGCCATGTGGGAGACACAGCAAACATGTGGAAGAAGGGGCTCTAATCAGATGAGACCAAAATTGAACTTTTTGGCCTAAAAGCAAAATACTATGTGTGGTGGAAAACTAACACTGCACATCACCCTGAACACACCGTCCCCACCGTGAAACATGGTGGTGGCAGCATCATGTTGTGGGGATGCTTTTCTTCAGCAGGGACAGGGAAGCTGGTCAGAGTTGATAGAAGACGGATGGAGCCAAATACAGGGCAATCTTAGAAGAAAACCTGTTAGAGTCTGCAAAAGACTTGAGACCGGGGCGGAGGTTCCCCTTCCAGCAGGACAACGACCCGAAACATCCAGCCAGAGCTACAATGGAATGGTTTAGATCAAAGCATATTCATGTGTTAGAATGGCCCAGTCACAGTCCAGACCGAAATCCAATGGAGAATCTGTGGCCAGACCTGAAAATTGCTGTTCCCAGACGTTCTCCATCCAATCTGACAGAGCTTGAGCGATTCTGCAAAGAAGAATGGGCAGAAATGTCCCTCTCTAGATGTGCAAAGCTGGGAGAGACATCCCAAAAAAGACTTGCAGCTGGAATTGCAGCCAAAGGGGGTCCTACAAAGTATTGACTCCTGGGGGGCTGAATACAAATGCCGCCACACTTTTCACAGATTTATTTGTAAAAAAATGTTGAAAAACCATTTCTCATTTTCCCTTCCACTTCACAATTATGTGCCACTTTGTGTTGGTCCATCACATCAAATCCCAATAAAATACATTGTAACATGACAACATGGGGGACATTTCAAGGGGTGTGAAGACTTTTTCAAGGCATTGTAAACCAATTAATTTACACGTATTGGGATTTTGTTTAGCAAAGACATGTAGCAGAATACGTTTTGGCCTAAATTTACGAAAGACATTAAATTTTTTTATTGCATATGTTTTATAGCAAAAAGTCAAAAATATAGTTTTTTTTTTCTTTTTTTCTTTATAGCAAAAAACCCCCAAAAATGCAGGGATGATCAAATACCACTGAAAGAAAGCTCTATTTGTGGGGAAAAAAGGACATACATTTCATTTGGGTGCAGCGTTGCATGACCGCGCAATTGTCAGTTAAAGTAACGCAGTGCCATATTGAAAAAAATGGCCTGCTGAGGAAGGGGGGTAAATCTAGAGGGCAAGTGCTTAAACAGGAATCGTCTTACTGGCAGGATCACCAAGTAAAAATTAAGGGGAAAAGCTGAAAAAAAAGAAAACTAACGCAGCTGTCTGACTGCGATATATGACATTTTTGCTCTTGGGTTTAGATACATTTTACATATCAGGCTGTTCTGGAGTTTTTGGCTTATAGTCTAAAATAAGTTTCAAACTTTCCAGGCAGGTCTGATGTTGATTGGTCATAGGAGTACATTAACACCTTGCGCTCTTTGTACTACTCAGCCTTTTTCTACCAGGTGCCGTGCACCGATTGGCTACCGGTTGGCTTGGACGTTACCTACCAAACATCGGCGGGTGTTTGCTGGGACACAGGTTGTGGTAGGTGAGGTCAAAGAGAGAGCCCAGTTTTTCGCTTAGGATCCCAATAAAGGCTTCTGTGTCGGAGGAATCCACCAGGCGGTCAGAAAATACTCTGCAAGAAATATGCAAATGTTCAGTTCAGGTCGGTCACATGACACGTTGGGCGTTCTTCCTCTTCTCTTGTGCTGGGAAGTCTTGTTAATGTCAGCACCACTCTCTGCATCAATATACATATGAATGACGGGTGCCATGGTGACACCCACTCATAGGGCAGGTCAGTGACACCCTGCATTCCAAGGATGTCATCAGTCATTGGGCATCATTCATCATGGAAGATGGAGGACATCTTGTGGTGATAAAGCAGTACTGCAGGTCACAGCTTCAGATTGAAAGTGAAAATTATTAAGTGTTCTTGCATGGCGACCACTTCCTGTTATCTCACATATATATTCTTATTATTATAGCCAAATGTACCCCCCTAACTCCTCCCCCAGTTTTTACACTACATAGACAGTAATATACCGAAACGTGCGGATTGTTCCCGATTGGTGGGCTACTACTTTGTGGAATGTTTCGCCGAATGGTTCACGAAATATCGCTGTTTTTTTGTGGTGAAATTGGTCCCATAGGAATGAATGGCGGAATGTTTAAAACTAGAGTGGGAGCTGACAAAAAGCTAGAGTGTGAGCTGAAAAATCAGGACATGATTTCTAAACTGCCATCACTCCCTCATTTTCAAGCCCACCTACACAAATCTTATATCAAAACGTTCAGCTATCCCTGCTGCCACTAACAATGTCCACGGCTAAGCCATACTCCAGATAGTTTTCACAATATGACCATTTGTTTGCAACTCACTCCTCCCATTGACTTTCATTGAATCTCCCACTCTAGCCACCTCAAATTTGAAGGGCAATTTCTGAAAACTGCAACTGTGCCTTCATTTTTAATATTTCAGAGTCATACTATGCATCAAACTGTAGGTCTGGGTCTTGTGATTCTCACAATATAAAGCTATTCGGTGTAGGATTTATCATTTTTAAACTACAACCGTTTGAAGATGGCAACTGCAGGCAGCAGAGTGAGCTGAAAAATCAGGACATGATTTCTAAACTGCCATCACTCCCTCATTTTCAAGCCCTAGACTACTGTGGAGGCAAGAACACTTCACACAATTTCCCAGAAATTGTAGCTTTTCTAGTTATTATTATTATACAGGATTTATATATTATTATTATACAGGATTTATATATTATTATTATTATACAGGATTTATATATTATTATTATACAGGATTTATATATTATTATTATTATTATTATACAGGATTTATATATTATTATTATTATACAGGATTTATATATTATTATTATACAGGATTTATATGGCGCCAACAGTTTGCTCAGCACTTTACAATATAATGGGAGACAATACAGCAACAATACAGTTCAATACAAGAGGGATAGGAGGGCCTGATCCTGGGAGCTTACAATCTAGGAATATTGCAGTCAAAGCTGTTTTTTTTTGTTTTGTAAACAGCCTTTTGTTTAACTTCTTGCTGCTCATGTAACAAATATTTGTAGTGGCAAAGAAGGCAGGCTTTAAAGGGTAACTCCACTTTCATGGGTAAAAATAGCAAATAAAGAAAAAATAATAAAGGTACACATTGGTACAAAGGTAATATTGTATTCAAAGTGTTCCTAAACCCCGGACCCTGCATTTAATATAAATGGTCTCCCCGGACCCTGCATTCACTATATCTGATCTCCCCGGACCCTGCATTCACTATATCTATTCTCCCCGGACCCGCATTCACTATATCTGCTCTCCTCGGACCCTGCATTCACTATATCTGGTCTCCCTAGACCCTGCATTCACTATATCTATTCTCCCCAGACCCTGCATTCACTATATCCGCTCTCTCCAGGACCCTGCATTCACTATATCTGGTCTCCCCAGACCCTGCATTCACTATATCCGCTCTCCCAGACCCTGCATTCACTATATCCACTCTCCCGGACCCTGCATTCACTATATCCACTCTCCCGGGACCCTGCATTCACTATATCCACTCTCCCTGGACCCTGCATTCACTATATCCGCTCTCCCCGGACCCTGCATTCACTATATCCGGTCTCCCCGGACCCTGCATTCACTATATCCACTCTCCCCGGACCCTGCATTCACTATATCCACTCTCCCCGGACCCTGCATTCACTATATCCACTCTCCCTGGACCCTGCATTCACTATATCCGCTCTCCCGGACCCTGCATTCACTATATCTGGTCTCCCCGGACCCCGCATTCACTATATCTGGTCTCCCCGGACCCTGCATTTACTACATCTGGTCTCCCCAGACCCTGCATTCACTATATCCGCTCTCCCCGGACCCTGCATTCACTATACCCGCTCTTCCCGGACCCTGCATTCACTATATCTGGTCTCCCCGGACCCCGCATTCACTATATCCGGTCTCCCTGGACCCTGCATTCACTATATCTGGTCTCCCAGGACCCTGAATTCACTATATCCTCTGTCCCAGGACCCTGCATTCACTATATCTGCTCTCCCTGGACCCTGCATTCACTATATCCGCTCACCCCGGACCCTACATTCACTATATCCTCTCTCCCCGGACCCCGCATTCACTATATCTGATCTCCCCAGACACCACATTCACTATATCTGGTCTCCCCGGACTCTGCATTCACTATATCTGCTCTCCCTGGACCCTGCATTCACTATATCCGCTCTCCCCGGACCCTGCATTCACTCTATCCGGTCTCCCCGGATCCGTCCTCCCCCCCCTGCATTCACTCTATCCGGTCTCCCCGGACCCGCATTCACTATATCTGCTCTCCCTGGACCCTGCATTCACTATATCCCCTCTCCCTGGACCCTGCATTTACTATATCTGGTCTCCCCCCCAGACCCCCCGCATTCCCTATATCTGCTCTCCTGGACCCCGCATTCACTATATCCGGTCTCCCCGGACCCTGCATTCACTATATCTGGTCTCCCCGGACCCTGCATTCACTATATCTGGTCTCCCCGGACCCTGCAGTCACTATATCCACTTTCCCCGGACCCTGCATTCACTATATCCGGTCTCCCCAGACCCTGTAGTCACTATATCCGCTCTCCAGGACCCCGCATTCACTATATCCGCTCTCCCCGGACCCCGCATTCACTATATCCCCTCTCCCCAGACCCTGCATTCACTATATCCGCTCTCCCCGGACCCCGCATTCACTATATCCCCTCCCCCAGACCCTGCATTCACTATATCCGCTCTCCCGGACCAAATTCTGGCTCAACACTACTCAAGGGTACTCTCTAGTTTTAGTAAATCAACCTCATAGTGTTTGAGTTGTACAGATCTGTAAATGTGTGCTGAGTCCAGGATGATCACCAAGCATAGTACACATTGCTCCCTGCAGCATTGATGTTATCCTCCTCCTCCATCTTCTCCACTAAAGCTGACAGTGACTAAGTTGGTGTGATTTACTAAAGTTGGGTAATACAGAGCGATGGCTGCTAAAGTCTACCGCCAGATACTATGTGTGACTTTTCACAGTGGACTTTCACAGCTGAAATTACTTTTTTTTTTTGCAAGCGATGTGAGATATTTTGTGCTAAAAATACTAACTTGCCAAATGTAATGCTCAAAATGTGTGAAAAATGTTCACTAGACATTCGTGTCTTATTAATACAAGTTGTGTGTCATCCGGGGTGACTTATCTGGTATATGTTCACTGAGACGTTTGTCCTTTGCAAAAAGTAAAACCATTAACCTCCCTAGCGGTCTGATTATGTCCATATTTCTGTGCTCAAAGCGGTACATTTTTTTGCATGGAAATATGTATTTTTTTATTGTAGGCCTGTAATATTTAGGAATAACTTACTGAAATCTGTCCAAAAAAGAGTCTAGTAAACATCCGGGGATGATATAATTTGAAACACGAAATCATAAATTATAATTTAATAAATAATCATAAAAGTAATAATAAATAATAATAAATTTAATTCAATAATATAATGAAACCAAAAACACTGAAATGTGAAATAAAAGCGCCAAGTTGGCACATCGCTGAGCTCAGTCGCAGAATCGTTTTCAGTGTCTGATGAGGAATTTCCCCCACGAATCATTATCACTCAATTCTGCAAGTGGTTCTGATTTACTATCGCTGTTCTCTAGCCGGTCTAAAACCGCGTCTGACCTAAAGGGACGCTTTTTGGACGCCATGGACGTTTCTCAGTTTCCAGGCAGAAAGAACAGTAAAAATGCAGGCAGGGCGCCGGACAAAGCACTCGGGACAAAATGTATGTGAAATGGTTTGATACAGGAATGTTATACTATGTGATTTTAGTGTATTTAGTGAATGCCACTTTTTAAACATTTTTCACATTTCCCGCCAGTTCCGTCCCCCGTACATCCCGACGTCGCAGAGAACGGAACCCAGATGACAGATGCCGGCATCGGCCGGAGGAGATGGCCGGAGAAGCTGCAGGGGGGACATCGCGGGAGCGCAGGACAAGGTAAGTGAAGTGCTGGAGGAATCCTGGAGCAACGCCGCATGGTATTCCCGAGTGTAGCTGAAACTGAAACTTTACCGACACTTGGGAATACCTCCAGGGGGGTTAAAGTGGTTGTAAACCCTTACATATACCCAGTGAAGTGACTGGCTTCAGGTAAAACACAGAGATGAAACAAACCCACCTACATAAGTTGTACCTGTTTATCTACAGCCATCTGTCCCCCTACATCCATTCAAAGTGCAGAATTTACACAGGCTTGCTCAGCTCTGAAAAGCAGGGGGAAGGGAGCTGAAGTTACATCAGTGTGGAGAGCTCTGAGAGCTGATTGGAGGGACGAGACACACACCCCCTCCACACAGGAACAGAGCTGAAGCTGTCAATCTGCTGGAGCTCCCTCCCCTGTCACTACTTAGTGCTCTGGACTGAGACAAGCACACACTATAGAGGGGTATGCTTTGTTCATATTTCATATCTGAGGTTTACAACAAGTAAAAGGTATAGAAACATAGAAAAGTGATGGCAGAAAAAGACTGAGTGGTCCATGAGTCTGCCCTTTTTGTGTTTTTTTCTT